TGAGTGGATAAGGGTCAGGGCAGTCAGGGGACAGGTAGGGTCCTGGGGGGGCAGTTAGGGTAGGGGGTTCTCAGCAGGAGGCAGTCAGGGGACAAGAAGCAGGGGGGGTTGGGGTTCTGAAGGGAGCAGTCAGGGGGTGGGAAGTGGGAGGGAGTGGATGGGGTGGGGCGGGGCTAGGGCGGGGCTTCCCCCCCCCCCAGTGTCCTCTTTTTTGTTTGTGGAAATATGGTAACCCTACCTAAATGTTCACTGAATAGCCTCTGTCATTGGAACAGGGTGGTTGGCCCCATGTGCTGGATAGCCTGGGGCTAAGCCAGCCCTGATTGCAGAATGAACCACACCTGGGTTGAATTAGGAGCTGGCAAAATAAAAAGAGCAGGAAGTATCAGAGGGGTGGGAGAGAAAGTTGCAAATAGGTTTACAGGAGACCTTTTTGTGCTCTCCCTGTAAAGGCTCTGAATTAATAGGGAAAAAAGCTGAAGTTGGAGGAAAGTCTATAGGCAGTGAGGTCTGGGAGAGACCCTGAACAAGAAGGAAAGAGACTGTAAAGGCCAGCTGGGATGAAGACTGAGTTTGTGTTTTGTGTTTTAATCTGGAGAGGGACCTTGAACTGCCTGGGGCCTACAGGGCCAGTATGTGTCAGAGGACTCAATCCCCCCAAGACATCCTGTTTATTATTGGAACCCCTTCTGAACTATGAGTTCTAAAGGGCCCTGAAAAGGGGATAACCGAGCCAGGGTGCAGCAGAATGATCTCTGGCTGCAAGGGGTTGCCTGGGGGGGCAGGAAGAAGCCCCTGTGCTACAGTGACCCTATGGACTTTTTGCTAACTGGTCACTTCTTTTCTATTCATTATTTGCACTGTTAGCTGGCCAATGTAAGTCACATGATGTTTCTGCTCCCCAACTGGATGAGTGTAACTCTTTTTATTTTTTTTAAACAGGTGAATAAAGAATAACAAGTGACAATGTATTTCTGGTATAAATTTGCTGACGAGCATTCAAATTAAAATTTGTGGCACTCCTGTGACTCCCTCAGTTTTCTCACTTGTCCGGAAGCTGTTGGAATACTTGCAAACAATGAATAACATGATTCCATGGATGCCATCAATGTGAATGTATTTATTCACAAGAATACTTACAAATTGCTGTTTGTATTGACCAGTGCCTGGGTCAGAGTGGACTGTAATCAACCTCCCCTCCTGGGACTACTGGAGTGCTATTGTCCACCAAACTTTATTGGGGAGGCTTCCATGCTAGCATCCAGTTGTTGCACAGACTGCTTCCCCTGTTGTGAGAATTAGGCTGCCCCACATGCCCTGTTTTTATGTATGCTGAATACAGGGGAGCTTGGAGGTGGTTCCAGAAGCAGAAACCATCCAAAGTATTGGGAAAGGAACAGGCATACAGGCAATGTCCTTTGCCTGAATCTCTGCTCCTCCCCACAGGTTCTGTGTGAGCCTGTAATAGCCCACTGTTGCTCCAGTCTCAAAAACCTCAACCCATGGAGCTCTGCTCCCACAGTGAGGAACAGAAATCCCCATCCCATGCTGGATCCAACTAGGAGATGCCTGGGAACATGAGCTCATAGCCACATCTCCCTGACCACTTAGAAAAACAGCAGGAAGCGCTTTGGAGTGTTCTTAAAGTCTCCGGAGCTGGAGCTTTGCTCCTTCCTCCAGCAGCAGAGCAGGGAACAGGTGGAAAGTGCCTTCACTCACCCACAATCGGTGTCCTCATGTTATCAGAAGTTTTGTCCTCTAAAATACAAACTCTGATCTGCCTTTACACTTGCTGATTGCCCAACTGATTTGCTGTTTGTCCTAATCTCCTTCCATCTCTCTTCAACTACCACACTCATCCTGCTGTAGGATGTCAGCCTGCCTCCATACCTCTTTCCTTCTCTTTTTCCTTGAGCTTTCCTCTTCCCCTCCCCATCTTTCCCTCTCCACACTCCCTCATGCTCAGTCTCTCCCCAAAGTGAGCTTAAAAAAAACCAATTGGGATTACTTCCATGTAATAAAAATATACATAAAGTGAATCAAGAGGATGTGTGCAGAACCACCAAAGCAATCACACAGTCTTGTACTTGTAAGCCTTGTCCTGCTTTCACCTTCCCCACTTCATTTGTGTTTGTCTGCACTTGTTTTGTCTTGTCTCTGTTTAGACTGAAAACTCTTTGAGGGCAGGGACCCTGTCTTTTAATTATTTGTCTGTGAAGAGCCCAGCACGTTATGAGCACTATATAAATAAGCTAATTTTCCTTTTTTTTCTTTCATTTCAGAGTGTGAAATTCAAGCAGACCTTGTTTTCTTGATTGATGGTTCCAATAGTATAAAGCCAAATGACTTCACCGGGATGAAGGATTTCTTGAAAGTTATACTAGATCAGATTGATTATGATCGCAATGTTCAAATTGGCATTGCCCAGTACAGTGACAGGTATAAAAGAGAATTCAGCCTGGGTGCTTTTCAGAACAAATCAGAACTGGACATTCAAATTCAGAACATTAAGCAGATGACAGGAACTAGTACTTTAATTGGAGCTGCACTTAAGCAGGTGAAGGAATTCTTTGCACCAGTACGCAGCAGAAGAGTAACAAGAAACGTCCAACCAGTTTTGCTGGTAGTCACTGATGGGGAGTCGCATGATGATGTTGCTGAACCAGCAGAAGATCTGAGAAGGGAAGGTGTTCATATATATGCTATAGGAGTTGGGAATATTAGTCACGTGCAGCTCACGCAAATAGCTGGCGTCCCGGAAAGGAAGTACACTGTTAATGATTTCAATGAGCTGAAGATTATTAAAAAAAGACTAGTTGGTGACCTATGCAAACCTGATGTTCCTACAAGTAAGTATAAATGGATACGGGGGAAATTCACATTTCAATCCTGACTTCTTGCCTCTGTCCCACCTCTAGAGGTATCTTTCTTCAAATGTGTATTGTTGTTGACCATCACTGAGGACTAATAAAAGCCAGGTTTGAATTTTCAAGTGACAGCATTTATAAATTACTCTGGTCAAAATTACTGATTGGAACATGCAGGAAAAATGCTTTGTTTACATAAATGGCTGCACCTGTTTTGCTCCTACTTTCAAAATAAACTAGGGGGTTGCACACTTTGTTGCTTCCGTAGGTCAAGCTCATTGCATGCACCAGGGGCTCCTTGCATTCATCTGTTCCTTCCCACAAAGTCTGTGTACTCCTCTCCTATCCCCCTCTATTTCAGGGATTCACTGCAACCCGATCCTCATGGCAGGGGCTCTGTGTCCGCCCCCTCCCCCCAGCTTCCTCTTCTCCCCTCGCTGTTCTTTTCTTTCAGTCTGAGAGAGAAGTAATTAGAGACTTGGTTGAAGCTGCCTTCTTAGCAGATGCCAGTTCAAAAGTTATTGTATTTCATCCAAACAGACCGAGGACTGCCATCAGGTTGACTGTAGGCTCCTTGCTATGCCCAGCCAATAGAAATTCACCTTTGGGCTTAGTCAAAGCATGCTGGGATAGCTCCATGCTGAGAAGCCTTAACAAGCTCCCTGGTGGCCACTCCTCCTTTCTTGTACTGAGCAGATCTTGGCAGAAGGCAGAAACTGGCCAACTAACCTCCACTGCCTTGAAAACCGAGCTTCTGATCCTTTACAATCACTTTCCTTCAGCTTATATGCCTTTATGTCAAGGTTCCCCCCACACCCACCCCTGTGCTTCTTCCCTTTGCTTCTAGGCTATCTGGATTCCCCGTGCTACAGCTATTCTGATTTTTAGCCTGCAAGTCATTGACTCAGAGGAGCCTCCTTTTTACTTTCCCATTGAAGAAAGGAGTTGATTTTCCTTTGCCTTGCCTGATATTTGACTCTTCACCTCCTCTTTGGGCTGTCTCTGCCCTCACAGCCATTGTCAGAGCACTGAGCTGCTCTCTCCTTTCTTTCACTAGAGCCTGGTTCTAGAGCTTGAGACTAATGAAAACAAATCTTCTCCGGCTTGGGGAAGAGTGTCACTTGCTTCCTTTTCCCTGTCTGCCTTTGTCCTCTTTCTTTGGTGTGGGGGTGCAGCTGCTCTAACACTGACATATAGTAGTACTGCCAGTAGCAAGAGCATAGGAAGATGTAATTGGTGGCAAAAGAAATAATTTCTTTGTTCACAAAGTGAAGACCTACCATAATTTTTTTTTTTAAATAATCTAAATTTGAATATTTCAATTTAACCTTTTAAATTGAATCATATATTTTATTTACACATTGCAAATTCTTTACTTTCTTTCTACTTCATAGCTTTAAATTGCTAAAGTGGATGTTTTATACTTATTTTATACTGTTTTAAATAACTGTTTCCTAACTGTTGGAATTTGAGGTTTTACACAGACTTTTTCCAATTGAGAGATTTCACTCTTAAAATACTCATTTATGCAGAAAATGGTAATTCCAGTTCCCCATTAACCCTTACTGTGAGAAAAACACAAACTAGATGTGCTATATTTACAACAACACAATCTTGGATATATTGAACTTCCATAAGTCAAGAAACTGAAATGCTTTGACCAGGCTGTGATCCTCCATCAGCTGTTGCAGTTGGGAGCCCTTGGGACTTGTGTTCTTTATGTGGTCTTGAAAATCTCTTTGATCCTTAAGCTCATATTTAGGTAATTAACCTTAGGATATTTTTTTAAATGACCCATTTGTATAAATAAAAGTTCATAATAACTGTGTTAATGTACTGAAAGTCTAAATAACTTCTCAGTGTTAACAAAGAAGCTGTTTTGTTCTGAAGTGATAAAGATTGTCACGAAGTGTTTCATAAAAATACAAATGCTCATGCATATATTTAAATTTAAAAGAGTAGCCTCGTTGTCTATTCAGATGAGTAAAGTTAGATACCTGCTTAGATGCCTGCACAATCAGGGCTTTAATTTTCAATACTTTTATTTTTGCCTATAGCAGTTTTGTAAAACTTAAATAAGATACCCCACCAGTCCTGGCATTTAAAAAAGCAGCATTTATAGTCAAGTGCATTATAAATTTTATTCTAAAGTTGCAATAGCACAAAATTTCAAATTAATTTTATAAAGGCTTAACCTAACTTACATCATTTATTTTTTAAAAAGTTGTCATTTTAAATCATCTTGGTTTAAGGTGTTCCACCCTATTTGTTAGTATTGACCTACATGTGAAACAAAATTGTCAGTATGATTTCTAGGTGTATTGAATAGGCTATTAGTACAGCATCATTAACTCTTAAAGCATCTTCCAACACAGTGCACTAATTAAAAAAAAAAAAAAAAGTTAGTCTGTTTAACTATTGTTGGGGATGGGAAATAATATGAAACTGAACCAAGTTCTGCTCCCATTGAAGTAAACAGCAAAACTCACATTGACATCAATGAGAGTTTGTCTGTTTAACTATTGTTGGGGATGGGAAATAATATAGAAACTGAACCAAGTTCTGCTCCCATTGAAGTAAACAGCAAAACTCACATTGACATCAATGAGAGTAAAATTTGTTAAATGGTTCAAATGAAAAAATAATTGTAACTTCAAAATACTTTTTCAGTTAATTACAATTACTGTTAGAAAGTGTTTCCTTTTCTTTTCAGCAGAAGTACATCTATTGAGGCAAGTTCATCCCTGGAATAACCCTGCTGGTGTAAAAGATTGATTCAGGGTGAATTTGGCTCAGATATGGATTAAAGACATTAAGGACCTCGCTATACATATTCTATCCACCAGCTATTGTCTTGTTTTCCTGTCCGTATCTGACTGATTTCTACAACTACCATGATTCTTTAGCTTAAACTCTGTCCCCCTCTTTCTCTCTGTTCCTCCACCTAAATTTGTTTGTGCATTAATTTGTGATATTTTGTTTATTCTTCCCGACTGTAGCTTGTTTTGTGGATATTGTTATGGGATTTGACATCTCTTCACAAAAGAGAGGTGACCGTTTATTCCATGGACACTACCAGCTGGAAGCATATCTTCCTGACATTCTAAAAGCCCTCACATCCCTAAGCAGTCTGAGTTGCAATGTGGGGACAAAGACACAGAGCAGCGTGGCAGTTTACCTGAACAACACAGTTACACCCGTGTCTTCAAAGTTCCAATTTGACAGTGAGAAAATATGGAACAGCTTGAGAGAGATCCTGATTGACAAACCATCTCGTCTTAATGGCAACTTCCTGGAGTCACTCTGGAAAACATTTCCAAGCAAAGCTGATGATCAAAATCGAAGGAAGGTAACCTAATCTCTTACACCGAGACTTTGGACCAAAAATAAGTTCTTTTGTTTTAATTCTGCTTTTGACTTCCTGTGACTTCAAACTTTCTATCTTTCTTTAGGTTTTACTTGTATTTTCAGATGGTTTGGATGAAGATGTAGAAGAACTAGAACAAAAGTCAGAAGAACTTAGAAAAAAAGGTATCTGAAAGCGGACAAATATTTAAATTAAATTACTTTGGTTTGAATTAAATTACTCAACCCAAAGCTCTTTAGCTGAAGAAAGGCAGGTGAAAAAGGGACAGAAGAAAAACAAATGCCTTCCCTTTTAGCAGCCAGGATATGGAGATAGAGAGAGCCACTAATTCAGTGTTATGTCCTAACATTGCTTTTTGTTTGCCTTGTCATGAAGCTTCCATGCATGATGATGTGGTGTGATAACCCACAATCACCACCAAGTGGTACAAGGTCATGAAATAAATATAGGAAAAGCACCAAATTTGCTCAGCACCTGTCACTGGGAACAGACTTTCAAAAGGGCTGAGCAGGCAATGCCTCGGATTGTGGTGCTGATGGTTTGATTCTCAGAAGTGTTCACATGGACCCAATGTGCTGAGCTTTTGTGAAAATCTGGCCACTTATTTTGGTGCATATATGGGAGCTGAGTGTTTTTTAAATATCTAGTCCTAAATGTGGGTGCTGAGCTCTTTTGAAAATTCTGACCATAATGTTGGGATATTTGTTTTCAGTCTATTGTATTCCATTTTGGGATTTACCTCAGTGGATGATCTAGCCCAGTGTGTGTATGTTGTCTTCAGCTTTAAACTCAATTTCAGTACAAAGCAGTGTTATTTTGAAAATTTAAAAACTTGCTTTCAGGTGAAAGGATAAAATATTCTGGAAATAATTGTGCTGACAGCCACAGCGGTCACATGTTCTTTGATGCTCAAGCTTCACTCAGAGAATTCATTCCACGGTTGCTACTGATTCCGGATTGCCACTGGCCCATTTATTTTCTATAAATTAATTATGGACTCTTAAAAACAAAATGTGAAGATAAATCATGATTTTCATCCTTTAATCTTTATTTTTACCCATATAATAATCTGAATTCCTACACGCAAGGATCCCATCAATTAAATAATTGTCTAAGATTTTCATTTGGATAAATGTTTTATGTTTTGCTCATTTATGGTCAATGTTTTAAACAGGATTGGATGCACTGATGACCGTTGTTCTGGAAGGAGCCTCCAAATTTAATGAGCTTCAGTACATTGAGTTTGGAAAGGGATTCGACTACATGACTCAATTAACTATTGGCATGAGAAATATCGCCAAAGCACTGTCCAAGTATGTGGTAAGTCATTCAGAGAAGCTCCAGTGTGTCTAGTTAGAGTTTTGATGAATGCCCTAGTCATTTTCTTAAAGACCTGAACAAGGCTCACAACTGAACTGAGAAGAGTACAATAGTCACGGAGGGCAAGATTCTCTGGTATGCTCGGGCTGCTTTGTGCCACCACTAGTGGCACAAAACAGGCCTAGAGTCAACTTGCTCAGTCCTCTGAAGTTTCCCACTGTGTAAGAGAATCTTCTCATGGTACTGGAGCAGCCTGCTTAGCTTGGCAGCTGTTGGTGCAAGGAGTGTGGCTGGGGAGGGTGGCGGGAGGAAGGAGTGAGGTTGCTCTAATTTAGCCTGGGACCAGCCCTGGTTGCCAGATAGCCCCAGGATGAGGGTGCTGCAAAGGCCTGCTGCACTGAGTGCTGCTCGGCCACAGCTGAGGATCTAGCCTGTAGAATACAAGGCACAATCCTGCTCCTCCTGAATTCAATGCAAAACTCTCAATGTCTTAAATGTGCTCAGGATCAGGGAAGTGTGAATGAAAAATGAAGTTTCACAGGTTTTCTTCCTCTTTTCAAGACTAACGTTGCTGAAAGGACGTGCTGTGCTGTTTTTTGCAAGTGCATTGGGGAGGAAGGTGGAATTGGACCCCGAGGGAATGAAGGAAATGAAGTAAGAATGTTTTTGTGATACTTCATCTGCATTGTAATTATACAGGGGCCGGCCAAGTCCAGGAAAATGGAAGTGTTGGAGCTTTATAGGAAGACTTTTTTTATTGCCTTTGGTGTATCCATTCTCAGGGCTTGTCTACACTAAAATCCTGCAGCTGTGGTGCTCCAGTATAGATACTGCCTACTCTGACAGGAGGGATTATGCCATCGGTGTAGGTAATCCATTCCCCGAGAGGCAATAGCTAGGTAAACCAAACAACATGAGATCTATTTAAAAATAAATAAATAAATACAAAAACTCCAAAGTTGAATTGGCTCCTAAGGCATTTTAAAAAAAAATCTGAGATGAACAAACACAAAATACTCACAGCATAAATGGACCCTGTGTATACCACTGACTGACACAACCATGCTGAAAAAATATACTAGTACAGGGGTGGGCAAACTGTGGACTGAGCCATTTTAAGCCGGCCCGCGAGCCGCACCATGCGGCTGTGCCCTGCTCCAGTGGGGTGCTGGGTTGGGGGCCGCACCACATGGCTCCCAGAAGCCACAGCATGGCCCCACTCCAGTTCCTATGTGCTCCAATGGGAGCTGTTGCAGAGCTTCCTGGCCGCGCCTCTGCATTGGAGCTGGAGAAGGGACATGCCACTGCTTCCGGGAGCCACTTGAGGTAAGCACTGCTCAGAGCCTGCACCCCCGAGCCTCTCCCCACACCCCAACCGCCTGCCCCAGCTGTGATCCCCCTCCCACTCTCCAAACCCCTTGATCCCAGCCCAGAGCATCCTCCTACACCCCAGGGCCACATCGGGGAATAGAAATTATATGGCGGGCCATGAATACTCACAAAATTGGGGTTGTGGTACAGGAGGGGGTGTGGGCTCTATCCTCTGATCCCACTGAGGTTTGGGGTCTATCCTCTGATCCCACTGAGGAATACCAAAAGAAACTATGCCATCTGCTCAGGAAATTCCCAACTACAGTATGGGAACAAATCTACATGGACACAGGTCGGATTATGAACAGGAGGCTGCCAGGCAACTCTCAGAGACCACATTCTACAGGCCACTATCCTCTGATCCCACTGAGGAATACCAAAAGAAACTACACCATCTGCTCAAGAAATTCCCAGCTACAGTACGGGAACAAAGCTACATAGACACACCCCCAAAACCCCGACCAGGGGTATTCTATCTGCTACCCAAGATCCGGAAACCCTGGACGCCCCATCATCTCAGGCAATGGCATTCTTACAGCAGGATTATCTGGCTATTTGGACTCTCTCTCCTCAGACCCTACACTATCAGCACTCCCAGCTATCTTCGAGACACTACCGACTTCCTGAGGAAACTACAATGTATTGATGTTCTTCCTGAAAACACCATCCTGGCCAACATGGATGTAGAAGCACTTTACACCAATATTCCACATGAGGATGGACTACAAGCTGTCAGGAACAGTATCCCTGATGAGGCCACAGCACGTCTGGTGGCTGAGCTTTGT